TAAAACATTCAGAAAGAGAAACACCGCCAAGTTTCACCAATTTACCATTCGAAACAGAGCTTCTAGGTCAATGGTTCTTTATTTTTCAACGGTTTATTTGGTCGGTTTGCAACTAAACGTTTGGTTCTCGTCTGGTTATAGTAAACTACAACTAAAAGTTCCATCTCAACAATGTGCCTTCGATGGGGCTTCTCTGATCACTTGGTTTCAAAACCATTTCCTTTGTTGGACCACTAGAGCTTATGGGCATAATTATGTAATAAGCTAAAACAACTTGGGCTAGGCTTTGTAATATTTTTATTTCTCATGCTTTTCAATAGAAGAAATTATTTCAAAAAAAAAAAAAGAATTTAAGAAAAGAATTTAATAAAGGAAAATTTGCAAAACTGACGCACAAAAAACATTAATTAAGTAACTAGCAATTTTCCAAAAAACGAGTTGATATACGCTGTATTTCATGTATATGGGACAATTTTACCCCTTGTTTGTGATTCACGCTATTCACCCATCTCTCCTGTGGATGTTGCGTCTCCTCGTAACAGTGGCCACCGGACTTCTATCATAGCCGCCACCGGATCTCCGTCACAGCCACCAACGGATCTCCGTCGCAACCACCGCTGAGTCTCTTCCTTATTATGACAGGATCTCTTCTCTACATCTCTCTAACTGGTGGATCTTTACCTTCTTCTTCCCCCCCCCCTCCGGTGTATGTCTCTTCCGATATCTGTCTGTGGATCTTCCTTTCTATTTCGTCTGATCACCGACCCTCCTTCTCTCTGATGTCCACTCGCTTCTCTGCCTTCTCAATTTTGCAAACGTAAATACAAGGGCATTTTGGTCCAAATTCAATTAACATGGTTACTTGCTGAATTATGAATATTAGATGGGTATAAGCTTAATTTTGGGTACAAAATTGGTTATTGAGCTAATTCACCCTTTAATAAAAGCATTGATAATTGCAGAGGCATATTACGCTTCCGTCATTTGATTTAACACATTTGCCTATTCCGCCGTATATTTGACGGCAAAAAGCATTACACGAGCCAGCACCACAATCTACTTTATCTAAAATCTTATGACACATTCTCAGTTGTCCTTCGTTCTCATTCACCGTCAATCATGTAAAAACATTATTTAAAACAAAACATTATCAGTTCTCATGGCACAAAACTACATGGTTTTAGTCATTTTCTTGTTGATAATTGGAGTTTTCAATAAAAGTATTGTATAAATATATAATGCAATATCATATGCATATATATATATATATATATATATATATACATGCCTTTAATATCAAATTGATATTTCCCTTTTTTTTTTTTTTCACTGAAATTGGATTATATTGATATTAGAACTGCTGCAGAACCTTTACAAAATAACAGGTTAACAGAAGGAAAGATATACACATCG